AGGAGAACGACATCTGGATGCTACTGGGTCTAACCAAGGTTAACTGCAGTAAAATTTCTTAGCCTGAGCTTCTTAATTTGTCGTAAAACCAGGCATTTTGGTTATTTGCTTCGTTCTTGTTAGCGCACTGTGTGACGTTTCAGTTTTTCTTCACTGAACAAGGTTGACCAAACAATTAGGAGAGTTTTGTCATTTTGGAATTCATGTGTTTCAATACCGATGAAGTTTTCCACACTGTGAGCGGTATTTATTTTTGAAACTTGCATATTTATTTTCCACAGTCTTGAACTAAGCTTCACTAACGTTATATTTTGACTTACCTAACGGTTTGGGCTATCATGACCAGGAAAGATAAATCAACGATAAATAATATACTTTAAGAGTGGTCCAAACCGTCTTTGATATGGAGGTTTGTTTTCAATCCGGAATAATTCTGGGAGTTGTTTTCACAACGTTACACTGGAACTAGGCTAATAAAACTGGGAGTGTTACTTTAGTAATCTGGAGAATATGTTGTTAGTACGGACAGTCTATTTGCTTTCTGAACCTTTTTAGCAATGAAAAGCTAGACAAGATGGATAAGAATTTGGTTGGAACAGGTTCGTACAAGCTTACAGTAGAACTTGAAAACATCGTGAAGCCACTTATGTAAATATCAAACTAGTGTTAGTCCTTTATTGGGGAATGGACTTATATGGCTGTGAATATTGCCATGTAGGAACCTCCAGAACATATACCAGCTGAACAAGTTGGTCAAAGGATTATCGATGAATGGGTCGTACCAGACAAAATTTGCCCAGAAGATTGGAGCGAACCCCAAAGTTTTATATCGATTCATGGCGGAGAGAAAAACTACCAGCCAGGGAGCTTGGGTTATGAAAGACCCAAGCGGACAGAACCCATCTTGACTGGAGATTGTCAAGGCCTTTAACGCCACCCTTGACATAACTAAACATTCCGTCATCCAAATCAAACGACCAACTGCCTAAGTAACCTTCAGCATCACTTAATGCAGTTCCATGGATTGAAGGTAACCCCTGCTATCGTCCTCAAAAAAAACTGTCAAAGATCCGCGCAGGAAAATCATCGGGATGGGGTGAGATTCAGCCGTTTGCATTTAAACAATGTCCAGGTGCCTATTGTGATCCACTCTGTAATCCGTTTCAACACTCCTTAGACAAACACATACTTCCACGATAGTAGAAACGTACTATTCTCTATCCCATCCTCAAAGGAGGAGACAGACCGTTACGATCCAACTCTATCGACAACGATACAACGCTCCGAGGCGGTACGATTGACAATAGATTCAAGAATTCTCAACTCGATATTCAGCTGACACCAGGAGAAGACTATGGGATTGAAAGTTTATTCACTCCAACCGAATAATAGGTGAAAACTCAGTCGTTTATATATCCCTGGATGACCTTGGCCAGAGAAAACAAAATAGCATATTCAAAATGTAAGATGGACCAATAATCGTTTAGTATCCTAAGCTGCGGTAAAAATAAGCAACATAGCATGGAGCAACAAGAGCACGAAAATAGGGCTTAGGCTTTACAGTGATATATTTTTGAGATGAGTGAGAATTTTTAATTTAGGAGTAGTATTCATCATGGACTGACATCATTTGGGGAACCATTGAAAATCTGGGAGCACTGGACAGCTGCTTCGTCCTAGTATGGGACTCTTCAGCAGTACGCACCCACGACCCGGCTAGGGGTCGAACTCAGGATGAAACAGCTGTCCAGTGCTCCCAGATTTTCAATGGTTCCCCAAGTGATGTCAGTCCATGATGAATACTACTCCTAAATTAAAAATCCCCACTCCTCTCAAAAATATATCACTGTAAAGTCTAAGCCCTATTTCCGTGCTCTTGTTGCGCCATGCTATGTTGCTTACTTTTATCGCAGCTTTGCAACCACTGGAACGCCTGTCTCCCGAGATTGCTACTGCTCCCTCTGTCGACAGCTTCAAGAGGAGGTTGGACAGCTACGCAGCGGTGCACGGTTTCCAATCATTTGGCTATGTTGACACAACCCACTGGCTCTGCAAAACCCAACACAGTCAACCCTATACCGAATCTTTTGTGCCGTCACTATCATTGCGAACTTAACTCAACCTTATGCTCCCTTGTTAGACGTCTCCTCCAGTTACCGTCCTGTACTAAAAGCATTACTATTTCTATTCCCATAATCCGTCCCATAACCTTACTCCTTCTATTCCATCTGACTCTATGATCTCACCCTATGTATTAAGGTTCATCCTATTACTTATCTCCCACGAATCTACTTAGGTAACTCCTGTCCCACTTCATTCCACTTTTTTTTCTTCGAACTCCTTTTATTTCGGTGGATATTTTTTTTATTACAACCGGTCTTAGCAACTCTCTAGTGACATCGTAGCTGAGGAACCCATTTCCACGACAGTTCGTGAAAAAATCATGGAACTCCTAGAAATTGAACCAACCCATAATCGCCTGTCGAGATAACAAGCCCTGTAGCAGGCGAGTGGGTAGGCCTGCTGCATCGGAATCGATGAGATTATGAACCATTCCATAAGGCCTAGGAGCAAGAGGAAAGAAATTATTTGGTTTACGCTAGCTCGTAAAGAGATTTCATACATCGAAATCTGGTGTCTGAAAAATAGGTTTCAGTATTTACCAGTCCCCGACGCTCGCCAAAATCTGGTTGTATGGAACTATGGAGGGTTTGAGTCGTTGAGTCGACTTATAGGAACATCTTTGACGTTAGTTTCTTGGAGGTACGCAATGACAATTCATAACTGTTAATCTCTAGGTTAAACAATCTGAAGTTATTTGAACTGCACACGCTACCGATTCAGTACCTACAATGTAATGGGGAAGAAATGATAGCATGTGTAGGGGAGTGCCCGGGACGGATTGGTTAGATGCTAACAGAATTAGATTAGAAAATTTTGAACTTTGTAGTGTAAGTTCGCATGTGAAGTACAATATTGGTGGGACTGGACAATCGCATACAGTTCCATGCATCAGGTTTTGAGCTGCCGCTTTCATTTTGAACATTAGTTTTAAAAAATGAAGTGACCGGAATTGTATCAAGATGGCGTCTTCACAAACTTTCGTCTACACTCGATGAGGACGTTTTGAAGTCGATAAGACCTTTCATCGTTCAAGCAAGTTGGTAATCATTAGCTGACGACGAGTGTCTCTCAAAGTAAACATGAAAATAGTTACCTACGTGCATGTAATAGACCGTTGCACTCACTTTACATTCTAACTTACTACCGGTATAAATGTAGCCGTTTGCCAGAGAAACTGTGGCTCATTTCATCAGTTCCAGGGGCACACAGGAATAACATTTTCAGTAAGTTTCCAAAGTATAAAAAGAAACGTACACCTTCACAATTTGCATGTCCACTTGGTCTCTGTCTGTGATTTTCGTTCCAGTTACTCGAAGAGATTTCACTCAGAAATATGTTTGCAAGTGTCTTCTATCAGAATAATCACAACTCCACTATTTCGTGTTTTTCAGGTGATAACTATATACTTCCGGCTATCCAGCTGTCAAGTTGTGATTCTTCTACGCAATTTGGCACAAACCTTCATCTTGTTGAAATTAAATCATGAGTTCGTATTCATCACCACGAACCACTAATGATGTTGACAGTGACATGGATATTTCCATTTATTCTCCAAGTAGCGATTTAGACTTAGATTTCACCGTCACCGAGTACACAAAACCAGACGTACTTGATGAAGAGAAAGACAGTCGTAAGTTAGTTTGTCAATTTTCTTTAGCCTAAAACTGGTTTCATACAAACTTGACACTGGTTTATGTTTCTGTGATCCATACTATTACTCTGACTTTCGTTACCATGATTCCATTCTCTGCTTGAATGTTTAATATTTTAGTCAGTGGATTTATAAGTGTTAGCTATCATTCTTTTTTTAAAGCCATCCCCTTTCACCTTCTAGCCGAGTTTTGCACACAGCATTATTTTTAGTTGCTATGCGCGAGATCAAATATAAGTGGAGTGAAAGCCCAGGTATTTTAAACTTCAAGAGGAAAATAATTGTGTGGTACGCCTAATATGTATGCAGAGAGGAGTTAGCCGAGCACTTAGAATGCACAATAAAGACTCACTTGATTTTAAATCCAAAATTTCTCGATATAAAATTGAGGAAGATGAAGTTATAGTAAGCTATGATATCAATTCTTCATATACTGGTATTCCAATTAATGATAGCCTAGATATTATTCCCACTTTATTAAACTCAGACACAACATTGACAGAAAGATGTCCACTGAATACCAGTGACATCAAGGTCCTAAAATTTTATCTGGAGACTACTTACTTCACGTACAAAAGAAAACTATGCTGGAAAACTAACGGTGTTGCTATGGGTTCATCTGTTTCACCCATAGTAGCTAACCTATTTATGAGTAAATTCGAAGAAAGTGTCTTCACTCACTTACTAAAGCGGAAAATTTGGCTGAGATATGTTGATGACACATTCGTAAGTTTAAAACGCGACTTACATCAGGCATTCTTAGATCAGCTGAACTCTAGATCACTCAGTATCAAATTTATTTCAGGAAAAGAAACGGATAATGGTAAACTTTCTTTGATTGTCTTGTTGAGCGGAAGAAAAGGGACACTTAGGTTCAACCATTTTCAGGAAAACCATGCATTCAGACGAATACTTAGACTTCAACTCATCACATCTAATTAGTGCGAAAGTTTCTGTTGCCTCCAGTCTTTTGAGGAATGAACACAACCTAATGACGGATGAAAATGTAGGAGTTAGAGAACAAGATAGTTAAAGTGAATAGTCATCCGGTAAAATTCATCCACAAAGTAGAAGATAACATTAGATAAGATCATAAAACTACTCCTAAATCATGGGCCTCAACAATAGTTATCCCTTACCAATCACACACATTGGGGGAAATAAGAAGAGTGCTCAACAAATGCAATATCAGAGTGCTGTACAAACCATCAAGTACATTGCGGAGTACCTTAGTTCCTTTGAAGGACGAGATCCCTCTAGGTTCACAATCTAATTGTGTTTATAAAATAAAGCGCTCAGACCGCGATGCAATATAAGTAGGACAAATGTCCCATGAAATCAAAATTAACTGAAATAAAAACCGAAGAGCTTCTACCCTACCCCCTAGAAATCCAGTGGAACCGAAAAAAACTGGTAAACACTTCAGCCATAGCTCTACACACTACAATTTCAGGTCACAAGGTCGATTTTGACAATATCGAAACAATTCATAAAGGCTTTAAAAGTTATAGAGAACGTCTCATAGCAGAGGCTCTCCACATTAAGTGGAATCAAAATTGTCTAAGTAGTAATGACTGAGTAAACCGTAGTTCGACCTAGTCTCAACCCAACCCGACACGCTGACATAACCAACATAAATACGATAAGAACTATCAACACATGTGCACATACAAATCTCAATCTGTAATTCATACACCCTTCACTCACAATACACTGCTTTCTTTATTTCTTGGTCTTTCATCTTAGTGCATTCCCATTTTGATGTACTGATATGTGGTGTGGCAACTTAGACTGCTTTGACTTCACAGAACTTGTTAGCTTTAGTTGTAATGTTGGTTCATAAATTGTCTGTGAGCTATGATACGATACTGTGGTGGCACCGAATATTCTTTTTCACGTTTGGGATACATGGTTACTTAATATCTTTACGCTTTTCTACTACAGATAAGCATTCCAACTCTCCGGAGTCGTTACTTGTCCTGACAGCTAAAACGATTGCTTTACATTTCCCGTTTGAAGTCGTTGAATCTAGTCCGGTCATTATTCCAGAAGAGTTACAGCGACTTATAGCTTTCCACAGTTTCCCTACCGATGAAGATGATATATGGTTGTATTCTTGTCTTAGCTGTGGTGGTTCCTACGAATATAACCAAGGCGAAGCATTGTTGGCAGATGGCGCTGTTAAAGAATGCGTTCAAATCGGTACGTTAATTCTTATTTTATAGGGAAGACGTTTATTGTTGTGATGTTGTACTTCTTTTGTCATAAATTAATCTAAGACTACTGGAATTGTTTAGCTAAAAATTTCTGTCACGAATTTAAATTAGACAAATGTAGCCGTTTTGAGATTCAATCACCTGTTCGGTGAACTATCAATCTTTTTAAGGAGTTTGGCGGCTATTGATTTACGAAATGTGCCACCTATTTATCGAGTTTATGTATTTAAGCAGGAAATTGTTTTTTGATCTGATTAGCATACTGTGGTAATGTTATAAGTAATAGGACTGGTTAGTAGAGTAAAACCTCTTAAGATTACGGTAACCATTTATGCTGTAGCATATTTTTACCTGTTACCTTTTACATCTAATTTCTTTCTTTGATGGTAACCAGCAGTGAAATCCATGACACACGTCTCGACTCATTTGAGATTCACCAGTTAGGTGTACTTGCTTCATAGTGAATGATGGTGTTCCCATTCATTCTGGGATCCAGCACCCATCACTTCAAATGCCGAAGTTTTATCGACTTGGCTACCGATTCACTAGAGGCAACTCATCGTGGATGCACCCTATGACAGCAAACGGAGATTTAATATAATTATATCATAGTTTTTGTCGTTACTGCAGTATATGAGTAAAATTCTGTAGTTTGTGCTGTGGCGTAGTGTGTAATCGAATCCCAATTTTATGTTTCCAATCGTCTATACATATAACCTTTTTACGTCTTGAAATACGAATTTTAGCATTAATCGAGTAGGTTACTCGGCAGAAGCTGCCAATGTGATCATATTAGAAATTCACAGGGGATGGGATTTTTTTTGGCAAATACATAACAGCTACGTTTCGATAAATTAGAGGTCTGGGTAATTAAAACAGTTTTTGATATAGGGTAATGCAGAGGTACCTCGTATACTGCAGTCTTAATTGATCTGTCAGAGGAATAGATAGAGGGTGAATATGGATATGATATAGCGTGTTGTGAGGTGTTCGATTGATTAGCACTCACGATAACGAGATAATCATTTAATCGATTGAACTGAATTCATGACACTCAAAACCCAGAAAGCTGGTGAATCGATCATATCTCGTAGCACTTAGTGAAATGTAATCTGTTGCTTATATACAAGAATATCAACTCAAAATGGTATGAAAATAAATCATGCAACTGAAGAATTACAGTTTGTTGAGAGTGAGGACCAAGGTTGTATGACATACAATGACTTCTTATGAATGCGTTTATAACAGCTTTACTGTCTGCTACTCGGAAAATCGAGTTCTTCTTTGAACTTGCATTCGAAGATTGTGAGTAATAAATTGATACAGCTAAACCTAGTACATTTTTATTCAGTAGGCTATGAGCCACGCTTGTCGTGTGATAGCTTATAATATTACCCAGTAGCTTATACCGAAGTAGGTAGGGCGTGCTTTAAATTCTTGACCCATAGCTTGTGTGTTGAGCTTTTCAGCTAATAAACCACACTTGCACTGTGGAATACTATAGGACTAACTGGGCCTAGTTGTCGTTTTTTTAGCATTCAAAGAAATGGATCTCACCAGTTAGATTCGTGTTGATAAATAACAACAGTAGTAAAATTAATTCATCCAATTATCCTTGAGCATTCAGCATCATGGTTATAAACTTCAGCATTACATCTTGACGACAGTATCCTTGCCAACTGTTGCAACTTTTCCTTCCCATTGGATTGTATCCTGTATATTGTTGACTTAGGTTGACATTTCTGATAAGTTCGTGTATTACAACTATCCAGTATACTAGAAGCCATCATTCTTTCCACCTGTAACTTGTAGTGATTGTGTTGTGTTATTTTTTGGTCTATTTTGTATTCAGGATTCCATTTAAGTGCAACTGTATTAACCAGTCTTCACTTTGCACCTGCGTTTGTGGCTCCAGAGAATAACGAAGAGAATGGTTCTGTAGATCCTAGTACTATCGATTTTTTTAATCCCTATGTTCTCAGTTTTCATCCGCATGGCGTACATCGTAGGCAGTCAAATGTTGAAAATGGAGGAGGTGCAAATGAAAATTCTGCGCATTATGACAATGATAATGGTAACCGAGTACGCAAACGTGGAGTCAGCATTGAGCCTGATTATCCTGCTCATCGAGTTTCACTGACATTTGATCGACAAAGAATAACTTCATGTTCGTGTACATGTACATTTGATTCCGAAGAAAGATGCACAGCAGTTGCATCACCTTCAAATACTGAAGATAATGTGGTCAATACTAGTTCAACAGACAATGTCCCATTGTCTTCAGTTGCGAATCCTATCAGACCGAATTCTTTTTCTTACCAGCCAATGAATACATCAGATTCGAATTCAAGAATGTTATTACGATTTGCGGCTAGAAATGGATCAATGTTTGCGAATTGTCGTAGTAATTCGCGCCAGATTTCGAATCAGCCTAACAATTATCTGATGAGAAATAACTGTTTACTCAGGAATGCAACCGGTCGAAGCTCTCCAAACAGTCATCGCTCATGGTTGTTTAATCAGAGTGTTGCAAATAATAACATGCACGGAGATCTGATGCCTGTATATGGACAAAATTCAACGGGAACATGGTGTTCGCATGTGGTTGCCACATGTTTACTACGTATTCGACAGCCTGATAAAGTTTTACTACGTGCTCCCATATCAGAATCTCTTTCGAAGTTGAGCAGAGAGGATCTGCAGAAATTTGCTCAGAATTTAATATGTCATGTAGGACCGAGAAAGGTTAGTTTATGATTCAGTGCTTAATGAGTTATGAAGTTCAAATCAGGGTTAAACATTCCGGTGAAAATGTGCATTGCCAGATAGTAGGTCCAAAATCGAACCTCAAAAGATGTATCAATTTCATTACTACTTATTGACATACTTGTAATTATCCATTGTTTTATTGGATCGAATTGTTCGACCTCTGTTGGCATATGGGCTCCGATGTGGATGTCTCGACATTGCCTGGATGTTAACCATGGTAATTTGTTTGGTTGTAGCTAGCAGAGGAATCCAGAAGGTGTGTTTCAAATCAGGGGTTCGAGTCTCAGTGGTTACAACATCACTCACTGAGGTGCAGGCACATCCAACTGACGAGTCCCAAATAGGATGAAACACGCGTCTTGGATTCTTCTGCTAGCTGCAACCAAACAAATTACTATAGTTAATATTCAGGCAATATCGAGCATCCGCATAGGAGCCAATATGCCGACAGAGGTCGAACAATTCGATCCAATAAAACAATGGATAATTACAAGTATGTCAGTAACTAGTAATAACTAATACCCGTTGTACAAGAAGTGACTATCGTGCCTCCGTGGCATAGTGGATGATACCTTGAGCTTTGAAACGATGGGCACGGGGTTCGAGTCTTATTGGGAAGTGCAGGCACGTCCAGCTGACGAGTCCCAAGTAAGACGAAACGCGCGTCTTGGATTCTTCTGCTAGCCACAACCAAACAAATTGCCATAATTATCAATTTATGTTGCCGTTATTTACAGTCACTTAGAAAAAGGGAATAGAATGATAATAAAATAAAGAATTACGAATGTAAGAAGAAAGTAAAGGAGATTAACAAAGTATTGAGAATTCAAAGGATGAATACATTCGTGAGTTCTAGTTGTTTTGAGGTTTTTTAATCATCGATCATCTATGAATAACTTCCCGTCAATTTCAACCTAGACGTCATCATCATCATCATCAAAATCAAGATAGGACCAGGTATTACTGCGTAATGGTCCAAGTTGCCATGCCTCAACTAAGAAGTTGGGGTTTTCAGCATACTTATCATCAAAAACAGCGTAGGTCATATCGGCATTTTTTGTTTTGTTTCGTATTACCAGTTTTAGAGTCGAATTAATGTTTTGCGAAATCACGCAGAAAATCAGAGCACTTGCTGCACTACAATTTTCACTATTTAACTTATGCGTAAATATCATACCTTTAGTTAATTCATTTATTACGATTTGACTACCTAAAATAGCCGTAGTTTGGCAAACTAGTACTTGTACTGGGTGATGATTGAAGGTGAGATGAAAATTTGGACCGCGGCCGGATTCGAACCAGCGGCCACCGGGTTACCGGCCCGGTGCTCTATCAACTGAGAAGTCCTGACTAGGCAGCCAGTCTGAATACGATCAAGCGGTAGTAATGAGTCACCAATTCACATGGCAGTTAGGCAAAACCCTTGGTGATTGAAGTGAAATAATTCATTTATATTTTGCCTGTCACTTTATGTCATCATCATTATCAACATCAGCATAGGCCCAGGCATTACTGCGTAACGATCCGAGTTGTCACAGCTCATATCAGTACATCAAGTAGAAAGATAGTGAGGTGAAGGATGAAGATAAGAAAACTCAGTCAAAAGAAACATAAAGTACGAGAAGAAAGAAAGGAAGAATAACAAAATGGTGAGAATCGGTAGTGTTAAGATGGGGATAATGTGTGTATACATCTGTGCTACTGACATCGGTTCTGTCACTTTATATCTTGAGTAGTGTTAGTAGATACATGAAATTGTGGATACCCGTTTGATTCAAATTTGGAAAGGAAGGTTTTATTGTTTAAGATTTCTGTTTGAAAGTGCTTAGATTTTTCTTTTCTATTTCAATCCGTACTCCAAAATAATTAAAAAGACATTATACGCCCTGTTATTGCATGAGTGTTCTGATTAAAAGAGGGATTTAAATATTGAGCCTACAAATTTGGCCTTCGAAAGCATTTAATTAGTTCTGTTCGTATTCATTCTAACCACGTTATGGATAGTAGATCGTTGATCACTTGGATATGCTTACAGTGTAATCTCACTGGAGTTCATGTTTGAAGCAAAATCAGCGTGAGACCTGAATTGACTAAAGTTATTGGGAACAAGACAGGAATGTAGCGTCAGTAACAATAAAGATTTAGGAATAAATCTATAGGAATAAGGAGGATATGTCGGGACTAAAGAATTTCTAGTCATAATTTGGTGAATGTTTAGAGCAGGGACAATTGTTAATACAAACGATTTCCTCAGATATTCCAGATATCAGCTTTGTTTACAAAAAAACATCGTATGTACTGAATATTGTTTTCAATTATCTTTTCTGGCTATTCGTTAATACTATTTTTAACAGTAATGTTCATTCTGCTTAATCCTAGTACTGTGTAACGAGTATTGCTAGTTATAAATATTTAAATTAAGCAGATATACAAAACATTTCACGTGTCAGATATTGTATGCATTCGAACAATATCTTTCTCCTACCGTTTAGGTCAATCAATTAATCATTATCAACATAGGACCAGGCATTACTGCGTAACGGTCCGAGTTGCCACACCTTACGTCAGTTCATCAAGTAGAAAGGTAGTGAGGTGAAGGATGAAGATAAGTGAATGCAGTCAAAGGAAATATAAAGTACGAGAAAAAAGGAGAGAGGAGCGACAAAATGGTGAGATTCGGTATAGTGTAGTTAAGTTGAGGATAATGTGTGTATACATCTGCGCCACTGACTTCGGTTCTGAGCCATATCACCTAGGGTCTGCAACCACTGGTTCCTCTTGTCCTGTGGACCCCAACCACCTAGTCTGCATCGTCCTACATGGCTTAAACCAAACAGTCAGAGACTTCATACATTGGTGCCATGTTTTAGTCTGGCTACCTCGGGCCCTTTTCCAGCCTGGACCCACCTCAGCCAACATTGTGTGACGAGGCAATCGGTGACTGTGCATACGTAGTACGTGTCCCAACCATCTCAGTCGATGAAGGTTCATAACCTCGTCAACTGACTTACCTCTTCTCCCTAAAACTCTACACCTGACTTCTGCATTACTCACGTGGTGACACCATAAAATACAGCCTATACTACGAAGGCAACGTTCGTCAAACACCTGAAGCCTTCTCATGTGTTCCACCTCCAATGGCCATGTTTCACAGCCATACAGTTGAACAGACCGGACTGCTGTGCAGTACACGCGACCCTTAATAGACAAACGGATATCACGGCGGTGCCATAGGTGGCGTAAATTGGCAAAAGCCAATCGAGTCTTTTGTATTCGTGCAGAGATTTCATCGGCCACTGAACCACTAGGGCTGGTCCCACTTCCCAGGTAGGTGAAATGGTTGACACACTCAACCACTTCACTCTCTACTGTCAGCCGAGGCATCGTTGAAGACCAATCCTGGAACAACAATTTGCATTTGGGTGGTGAGAAACGCATCCCAAACATTCTCAAATTGTCACTCAAAGTGTCCAGAAGATTCTGCATTTTGTCACAGTCTTCACTTAACAGGACTAGGTCACCTGCATATTCTAAATCTTAAGAAAATTCTCCACTGATTAGGTCAACCACTATGTAGTCAGGTGACGAGAGGGAAACTTCCATAAGAATATCTATCATAAAATTGAATAAGAATGGAGAGAGTGAGCAGCCTCAACGGACACGCCTCGACGAGCACAGCTTTCCGGACATCTCACCATAGGTTCTAACACGCTCACAAGTACTCGAGTAGAGAGCCTTCAATAAGGTGATGTACTCACTCGGCACGCCTTTCAGTGAGAGAGACATTGCCATAAGACTTCTCGATCAACGGAGTCCAATGCGGCAGCCCACAAGTCGAGAAATACAGCTATTGTCGGGCGTCAGTAAACGTGCCTGTGTTCCAGAACCTGGCGCAGTGTGAATATTTGGTCAATACACCCGTGGCCGGGTCTATATCATGCCTGCCTGGTTTTCTCGGGCTTGATGTTCCCGGGCTCCACTCAGGCATCGAAGAACTATAGAACCTAGAGTTTTAGATACTATGCTCGTTAGGCTGATTCCTCTGTGGTTATCACAAGAGGACATCTCGCCTTTCTTGAAGACTGGAATAATCAGTGATTTCGACCAGTCAGAGGGGATCGTATTTGATTCCCGTTAACCCGACTAAGAGCACCTTACCACCATCCTTGTGAACGTCAGAAGTTAGTCCGTCTGATCCTGCTGCCCTTCCTCGCTTCAAGTTACCTACAGCTTTGTCGGCTTCGGCAAATGTTAGGGGGTCTATGTCAATGTTTCGTTCAGGATTCGACTGGATAGCCAGCAACGCAATGATGGCTGGAAGCCAGTTAAACTGTTCCTTGAACCGTTCTGCCCATCGTTCCAGTAGTCTCCTCTGCGAATGAATCACAGATCCGTCCTTCTCCCTTGTAGCTTCTAACTGTTGTTGACCATTTCCCCCCAGTCTCCTCAATAAGTCTAAATAACTGTCTACTGTTACTAATCGCCGCTGCCTTTTCCATCTCTTCATCCTTCGCTGCCCACCACTGTTCAAGGTCGTTGCATAGACTTCTTCTCAATCTACTTTAAAGTTGCGCTCGCTCTTCATTGTACTCAGAGCCTGCAGAGATGCGTTCACGTGCATTCATTAGTTCGGAAGAAGCTGCTGATATACACTGGCTCTTTTTAGCCACTATTTTGGAGTCGGCTACAGTCTTCAGCGTTGCTTTTACAGCAGACTGGAGATGGCACCAAGCTTCTTCTGGATGAGTGGTATTCTTCTGTTCCGATAACTACCTAGTCAATTTCTCGCTGAATACAGCTTCGGTTTTTTCGTTGCCGAGCTGCACTCGTAGTGATTTTGTTGCAAACTTTTTCTACGTCCATTAAGACGCAGGGATATACGTGCTCGGACCAACACACGGTCGCTATCCAAACACGTACTCCAGAAGGAGCGGCAGTCTTTCACCGATCCTCTCCAGCGACGACTAATAACAATTTGGTCTATGTCCATCGCTGAGTTGAGCTCGGTGGACGCCACGTCAGACAGTGTCTTTCTTTATGTCTGAAATTTGTGCTAACTAAAAATAGGCGGTTATCTGAGCACAGTTGTAGTTGGCGATCACCGTTATCTGTTCGTCCAGCTGGGATTCCGAAAGTGCCACCCGAGTGCCTTTCTGCCTCACTCAGTCTACCCACCTGTGCAGTAAGTCACCTGCAACAACCACCACGTTCGAACGTTTGGCTCTCGAGAGGAGGCTAGGCAGCTTTTGGTAGAACTCGAACTGCAATCAGTGGGTGCGCAAGCAGAGATTACAAAGAAACAACGGCGAATTTGACCATTCCTTTTAGTTCTCAATGTGCCGTTAAGTCGGACAGCGCAGAGGCGACTATCAACTGGGATCCAATCTAGTAGAGTTTTCTACCTTAGTGCTTAATGCTATGCCTACACCTGCAATCCGAAAGAGCTAGCTATCGAATCTCCAGAAACACGGAGGGTGAATTTCGTGGACTCACCAGATTGGCCGGGAGAGGTCAGGTGAACAACCACGCTTGGGTTTTGTATGTGAGTCTCACAAACACAGCACACATCCATGGCCCGAGTTGCTAGAGTCTTTGCCAACGAAGCCTGTTAACCAATTTGAAGGAAGCGGAGGACGTTGAAGGCCCAATGTACAATTAGGAGCGTGGTTTAAGGAGAGCAGGAATGCTGTTGTGTGGACTCAGATCGTTGTCGAAGGCTGCAGAACTAGGAGAAATCGAAGATGACGTAGTATCGTTAACTGAGAGACGTGAAGGAAGATTAGAAGAGAGTGGTGAGGGGGGTGGATGGTAGTCTGAAGAAACCTAGGTGCTGATCGAGTTATGAGGGTGGTTGACAAATCCCGGCTGTCCACACCGTGGAAGGCTATTTCTTCTTGAGGTACCTGCAAGAGATTTGTGTGACCGCAGAGTGCGTCCGACATCTGCTTGAGACTTGTCACATGCAGTCTTTTGTGTATGGTTGTCGTGAGCTTTTGTTGTTTTTTGGTTGGATGGTCGGAAAATAAACGATAAATGAACGAACACCGCCGGACCGGCAGACCGTGGGGTATGGTAGAGTGTGTTATTTTTGGGGCCGACCTTTTCTAACCCCCCCTTGCACTGAGAAGGTAGCATCAGCATGGCACTGCTGGTCATCTAAGGGAAACACCTTACTGCTGTCACACCCCATCCAGCTAGCAGCAGCACGACTTCGCCCTCAGACCCTCAGCATAGTATAGTAATTTACACCACGACGGTAACTGCTTTTCGTCTAACCACTATCCAACAGACCTTTGTGGTATGGTAGGAGCTCGAGAGACAAATGGCTTCACCAGCGTAGTTTGTTGGGTCATTTTGGTATACAAGCCCGACCACCGCGTCAAGGTAGCAGCTACCGTTTAGGAGTTCTGTGAAGATCAAAATGTGATGGTTATTCTTTTTTTCCCGATCGCTGTTGTCCTTCAAAACTGTCTAGTTACATTTATATCATCTTCGGGTAATTTTGGCAAAATCTAATTATCTTTTTTTGCATGTCTCCACATATCCAAAGACTATAAGTTTTGAAATCCTTGAAGGTGTAATTTTCTGCCATCCTTTTTCATGTGCCAAGTTTTATCACTGCTGCAAGTAGGAAGAAATTTGATGTAACTGGAAGGATAGTGATTATTTAGTTAACTAGTTCACTAGTTACTAGCCGGTCCCAATCCCAGATTAAGAGGGAAGGTTGGGCATAGGGCTAGCAACCCTACTTCGGAAAACCAATCCAAACGCTAAACAAACTTCAAAGCACAAAGAAAATGCGAAAAATAAAAACAAACTTATCCCTCACTGGAATCGGAGGGACGAAATGACACCGGTTGGTGAAAGCCTTCGGGAAGCCAGTCGGCCGATGCATCTTCTCCCGATGAAAGCGAAAGTAAACATAAGGACATGTCCGCACCATGTATGAGCCTAGCTAGCAAGGCTGCCGAGATTGCAAAAGAGATGAGGAGGTGTGTCATGGAAGTGCTTGGAATCTGCGAAAGCAGATGGAATGGAAGTGGACTCTCCAAACTGTCAATTGGAGAGTCAATAATCTACTCCGATATTGTCACCCAGACGACAACCACGAGCACACGGAGGGAGTGGTTATCATGACATCTCCATGTGGGCATCTGAGGGTGACATGGAGATCATGTGAGGAAAAAAATGAAAGCTTATGGGCAGTCGTGGTTCCAGGTTCAAAAAACTTCAGAAAACAGAGTGCAGTGGAGGTCCAAGGAAAAAAATAATAGTTGGTTATAATCAGTATTTATTTTTATAGGTGTAACATGTATTCAGTGGCACAGATTTTCGAATCCTGTTGATTAGAATATATCTGAAGGCACGAATGTAATGTCACGTGAATTGAAATTCGGTTATAACTCTATCTGCACATATCAATACTTTCACGGACTGTTATGTTCTTTTGCATGCACGATCTATATATTGATCAGTCATGTGATTTCTCTTACTCTTCATTGAGTTTTAAACAAGGTTAGTGCTTTTTATCCATTTGACTCATGCAAACATACATGCAAATCGTTAACTCACAACACGTAAGTGTGCGTAAAAATTGTGATTTTACGCACAAAAGAACGGAATTACGTACGCTCGTCCACTTTCGATCCTACATACTACGGCACTAAATGGGACGAGAATGTCAACAAGAATCTCCTGAACCATGTTATACATTCACACCATGAGACAAGTTTTGGGGGAAACTCCAAGGTGAATAACTTCTTGAAATAATCCAACGAATTGTATTATCTGAGGTTTTTAATATCTTTTCGTCGGATCGGTATAATGATATCACAGTTCATCTATATTAGAATATGAATTTATGCAGGTGAAGCTTGTAAATCGAGGGAGTAAAGATGATTCATCTAGATGTTGCTGCTTGTATTATCACATCGTTGATTGGACCGAATTGATCGGTCTTTATTGGCATATGGGCTTCTGCATGGATGCCTTATCGCTCACTGGGAGGCAGGTACATCCAGCTGACGAGTCCCAAATAGTACAAAACACATGTCCTGGATTCCACTGCTAGCCATTATCAACCATTAATATAAAGTTCATTTAGATGTTGTGATTTTCGCTTGCTTGATACTAGGATGAATATGCATCACATTGACTCGTCTTTTGTGTTTTTTTACATATTTGTAATTGAGATTAGTCTCATACAAGAAAAAGTTGCTCATATAATCTAACTTGCTAATCACGGTTTATGTGTGTAACACTTCGGTTTTAGTAACTTGTATTGATTTGGGTATTTCATTTTCAATGAATAGGTACGACTTCTCAGTTAGGAATCCTTATTCTTTTAATTTTTTTTTTTGGGGGGGGGGGGGGTTCTAGTCACTTTTAATGCTAGAAGGTGGTCATTTGATTAGTTGCTTTCATGATAACTAACGTCCACAGTATTTCCAGCAACGTGGTTTACAATCTGTGCTTTTTATTTCGAAATTTGTAGATTTTGCCGGCTGCTCAGCGTATTCTTGATCAGTTATTGGCGGCTACAAATAATCCTATTAAGAATTCTGCTGGAGCACCTGGTACGTTGTCGTATTAGGATTGCGTAACTACTTTTTAGTTACTGTTTTCGAGTTTTGGTGCAATTTTTTGACTACTTAACTTCTGTAAACGTTGCATATGCGGTTTCAAAATACACACACAATTCAATCAGTGTAGTGGAATAGTTACGTTGTTCTCAGCAAAAACGACGGTACTAACAGTTTAGCATGTACGTAATTAGTGAGATGTATGATTATTATTTTTGCCTTAAAGCCTTAAATCGACTAAACTTCAGCATGTGTTCTTCTGAGTTTCTTGGTTTGTTATTTTTAAACCCAAAAGGAGTTTCCATTACGAACAAATATTATTTGTAGAACCACTGACAACTAATTAGTTGTAAATTGATATTTTATTATAGTATAGGACTCATTAAGAGAACTTGATCAAATCCTCAAGTTGTATTTTCCTGTCAGTGGTTTGGAAAGTGTACATCGAAGTTTCTACACTAGCTAAACTCCCATGTTCCGTTCTGTATTCCCTTGAAACAAACTTTAGGATCGATAAAGCACCACTTGTGTTGCCTGACTTAGAAGAATATCCTTAGTTTTTTGGATTGAGTTGCCGTATAATTCGGATTTTCACTTGGCGAATGTTCTAATAACATGTCAGGTATCGCAATCGATGCAGTTTCATGAAGCATTTTCATTCAACTACGTTCAGCTTCTATTATTAATAAACTAGTCGATGGATCTGGTTTATGCGGAGTGTACGATCATTTTCAGACAACACAGCACTTTCATACATTTGGTGTTAAAGACATTGAAATGGTGTAAACTTTGATGCCAAAATAATGTTTTCATTATATTTGATACATTACACTTTTGAATAATATTCACTTTCTAAGAGTTGTGTAAATAAAAGTTTGCTAGTACCAAAAATGTATATGTTAACATGTGACGTTTTTTATTAGATCCAACTGTCGGTGGTGCTTTGGGTGATGTGGCAGCATGGTGTTTTGATGGTGGAGTACTGGAAGAGAAGTTACGAGTTACTCTGCGTAGATTTTGGGCTCCGAGACCTGTATTGTACAGTGATATTGGGTCTTTGAGTTGCAATTTGCCGTCCAAAGTGGAGAATTTCCTCATTATAATTCGATCTCTTCGTACTCATGAACCAAATGGACTTTGGGATTTACTGTCATTCATTCAAAATATGATGAGAAGACAAGATAATAATGGTGTTTTACTCCTAGAAATCATTACACGATGCATTTTGGATATGACTGAAGTAATGTTATCCCTTATTTTTTATTTACCTTTTATAAAAATGAAATTTGAGGGTTTTAGTAAGCAAAATAGAATTGGTTGGCGAGAAAATATTCTCCTTATTTAAAAAGGCGTAGTGTGTTAAGTAGTGGCATAGGTCATAATATGTTTCGAGATTCAAGATTTTTTCTCCTAATAATGATAAAGTAATAACTAAATCAACTTAAAGTCTGGCTCAGGTGTACATTAGTTCATGTTACTACACTTCAGAGTATTATGCAAAGAAGTGGATAGAAAAAGTGAAACAAAAGTTTAGGAGTGCTAAGACATTTGAAATCGACGAAAGTTAGAAATGCTGAAAAGCAGATACGTTTACACTATTGTAACCCATTTTCAGCTGTGCCATGAACAACCTGCAGTCATTGATTTTTATTGTCACTCAGTATACACTTCTCTACATGGATTTGATTAACTGTAGTCATCGACTGATGTTACATCTTGTTCTGACCACCCTGAATCGTCTTCGAGTCTAATCCACCTTCTGCTAGCATTGCATTTCGAGAATGGAGAGGGATTGGTATGCGCAGCACATGTCCCAGCCACTTCAGTGGGTGGTGTTTCACAGCCTCACCGACCGACTTGCTTCTCTTGCACAGTACCTTTCACCTAACCTCAACATTACTCAAATGGTGATTCTGCCATGCAACGCGAGTAATGCTGTGGAAGCAGCTGTGGTGAAAAGTATATACCTTATTCATATAATCTACCTTCAGTGGCTGGGTCTGACAGCCTTGGTAACAGGACATAACAGACTGCAGCTGAGTATACTCTTCCTTTAATAGGTAGTCGGATATTTATCTCCCCAATCTCCACCAGAAATAAAGCAAGTTGGCAAGTGCCAAACGGGTCTTTTGTACCCAAGCTGAGATTTCATCAGCAACCGGTCCATTCAAGTTGATACATTCCACCAGTTCATTCCCTATTCGTAAACAAAGAGTCGATACCGACCACTGTTGATGCATACTGAAATTTGTACTGAAGGTGTTCAGAAGACTCTGCATTTTGTCAGCGTCCTCACCAAGCAGTACAATATCATCTGGATATTCCAAGTCAACTAGATGACTTTCAGGAAGCAGATCAATCCCTATACCTAAGTTTATGTTCATTAATACATCTATAGAAGAAGTAATTGAAAACTGTGACAGCGGCATCCGTGGTTGACACCATTAATTGTCGTCAATTCACACGACAACTCTCCATAAGCCGGAATACGACTACTTGAGAGAGGTTTGATGAGCTAAGTATACTTACTCGGTACTAGCTTCATGGTCATGCACTTCCACAACGCCGCACGGTTGAGATAGTTGAATGCTGCTTTCAGCTCAAGGAACATGACAATTATCTACCTCTGGTTAGTTTGCTTGTATTCTATAACCTGTCAAAGTGTGGAAATCTTATCAATACACCGCCGTTTAGATTTGTAATCTATCTTGTTTCCCAGCGTTTGGTGTTCTTGAGTTCCAATTAGGCATCGGATGACTATGGGCCCGTGTATTTTAAGATGATGTTAGTGAAACTGATTCTCCTGTGGTTGTCAAGATAACTACAAAATGCTGGATTTTCAGGCAGTATCGAAGCATCTGCATTGTAGGCCATCTACCAATGGAGGTCGATCAGTTCGACAGGAGGTCAATCGCATTCCGAATAGCTCAGTTGCAACTTTGCTTACGGCGACGCTGGGCGACGTGGGTTCGAATGTCAAACGGGCAGCAGTTCCTCCGCGACTGGGAATATGTGGTTGTGCAGTTATTGACTAAAGGTTATCTTTACAGCATTATTAGTGTTGTTTGTTTCTGTTTAGTGGTGTGTTGACGATGAACGCTTTCTTATTTGGAATTTAAAAATAATTGCTGTGTCAGATAATAGACGGTGTTTTTTTTTGCATCAATCAGTAGGAAACTCTCAACTTGGGTTTCGTACTTTTTGCTGTACTTACAACCATGAGGAAGCCGGTGTTCGCTCGGTGATTCGAACTTGTATTATTAAACTCAGAAGTCAGTGGCTTCTCTACTAGACTGTGACTGCCATGTAGGACTGGATTGAGTAGACAAGTTGGTCAGTGTCTGTATTTTATAATCCAGGTCTGCTGACCTGCTGATTAAAATTTGAATAGCTGAGTTTTGTACCTTGGTTACTTAGCCTTATACTGGGAGACTTAGACGTTTTTTCATGGCATACGATTATACATGATTTTCTACAGGAGTGGATAAAGAGTATTCCTGCCTGGTTACTTTGAATTTTACTTTAGTAAACAGTGACTATCTTACTGATGGGGCTATGTTATGAATGGGGGGCAATCATCTGAATTCTGAATGGATACATGGAAACAGTTGTTGACAAAAGGCAGATATTTGCTCTACTACCCTACATCTGCTTAACATACACAGACTTTATTTCTTCTGTCATTGTACTGCGTGACCTGTGATCCAACGAGCTATGCTGGTGAGACGCTTGTCCCCTCGAGGTCCTACCATGTCAGAACGGTCTGTTGAATAGTGATAAGACGAAAAGCAGTTACTGTTGTAGTGTAAATTACTACACTATGATGGGGATGCGAGCGCGAAGTCGTACTACTGCTGTCTAGATGGTGGGGTGTGACAGCAGTAAGGTATTTCCCTTGGATCACCAGCAGTGCCACGTTGATGGATTCTGGATTAGAAAAGGTCGACCCAAAAAATAGCACACTCCACCCTGCCCGACGGTCTTCCGGTGTCACAACAACCAAACCTCGAAGCAAAATCCCTCAAAAAGCCTATGTGGCAGACCTGAAGCAGATGTCCCTTGGGCTCTGTGATCACACAAATCTTTTTCTCTTTCAGGTACCTCAAGAAGAAATGGCCAGGAAGTGCACCCACCCGCACGCTTCCACTAGCATTAAAAACTCAACCAAACATTACCTACCTATCCTCCTCAACTGTGTCTCCTCCTTTGCCTTGATCTCGTGATACCAATATTAGGCCTCTTACTCCTTCCCCAACCTCTCATTCTGCAACCGTTGCTGGCGATCATGTGCATCGGAACCTCATTACTAGTCTACTAGGATCCCACTATCGACTTCATGTGGGGGCCTTCAATGTCCGAACTCTATACCAAATCGGACAGGAAGCATCTGCCACCAGAACTCCTGAATCTCTAACCATGGATGTATGCTGTGTCTGTGAGACACGCATGTAGGCGGGAAGGGAGTGTGGTTATTAGATCAACCTCACCTGTCCATAGCAGTGAATCGGTGAACTTCACGTTAAGAGTATCGAGAGACCATATATCTATCTGTTGTAGACACAGTGGTGTAGATATAGCATTGAGTTGTAGGTTATAAAGTTGGCTTGTTGACTGGATAGTATTGAGTAGCCGACTGTGTGCTGTTCGACTGAATGGATGTGTAACAACTATGAAGGATAATGAGACTAGGTAGTGTCTGTTTGTAATCTTTACCTACTGACTCACCGACTGTAGTTTGGATGACGTAGAATGTGAATTCTATGAGAAGCTGTCAACTTTGGTACAGAAAGCGAAATGTGTTCAGATGTAGTTATAATTGTAGGTGACTTTAACGTTGAAGGTGGTGAAGCTGAGCCAATCGGAAAGGCGTGTTGGAGGGCAACAAGGAACTCTGGCTGGTGATGAACCAACCAAGAACCTATCGTTCAACAAATATGCAGAAGGAAATGGAGATGGATTGGGCATGCACTGAGAAGACCGATTGGGACATTACGCACCAGGCCAGGCCCTTGAGTGGAACCCAGATGGAAAACGACGAGTTGGGTTTCCCAGCTGAGGGTGACATAGAGAAGATCGTGTGAAGAAGAAATGGGAGCTTGTGGGTTGTCGTGGAGCCAGGTTCGAAAGATCGCAGAGAAGAGAGTGGAATGGAGACGTGCTACTAAACCCCTATGTCCCACTAGGAACCCAAGAAACAAATACTAATACTAATACTAATAATAATAATAATAATAATAATAATAATAATAATAATAATAATAATGTGGAATCTCATGCCAGCGAAGCGACAAGGGTGATCGTTTGTAGCAATTTTATTCCCTTAATCGCTTGTTTGTGGCTAGCACTAAATTTACGAGTATGGGGAGACACTGTCTCAAATGGCGTTCACTGAATTGAAACCAGAGATGAACACATATGGATCGTATTGCTGTAAACCATGGTTGAAGAATGTCGATGAAAGATTGCTTCCACCTGCATTACCACTTTGGACTCCGACCACGCGTTAATATCAGCTCATATATGTCTTCATCTTACTGATCGCAGGAAACAGGCGACGGTAAAGCTTGCTTATACCTGCTTGGAAGATGAGAACGTTAAGAACGTCGTTAATCTTGAGTTAGCTAAGCATTTATCTGGACGTGACAGCAATGTTCATCTTGGAGAATCTGAGGGTGGTTTGATGTTAAGTCTTCTGTAGAAACACTGCTAAAGATAGTTGGTAACGTATACCTGGATGTTAGCGTATGCCATTAGATTTCCGCAGCAGCTTCCGAATTGATTGATGCCATAAGACTGGTTCTAGGTGACTCTGACCATAATGAAGAGCGAAAGCAACTGGAACGCAAATTGACCAAGAGTCTTCGTATCGACCGCGAACAGTGGTGGGCGGCGAAAGCGAGAGAGATGTAGAAGACATCAGCGTTGGGTAGACCCCGGCAACTGTTTAGACTTATTAATGATACGGACAAGAAGAAGACGTTGGTTAGTGAAAGCATCACTGTACAGGATGATACGTTGATACCACCAGAAGAGATGGTTGAAATTTCAGGGGGCAGAGTTCAAGTGTCTCTCAGCAACGCTTCAATTGCCCGACAATCAACATGAACCTTAGATGTTGGTCCTCCAACTCTCATTGAAGTTGAGAAGGCTGTTGCGAACCCGAAGCAACGCAAAGCAGCTGGATCTGACAGTTCGCTATCCTAGGTTTTCCAGGATGGAGGTAGGAAATTGCTAATTAGAGTGATGGAGGTGAGGTACTAGGTGGTGTATAGGAATGCAATGTAGTGCCGTGAAACTAGTCTTTTTCACTGATCATCACAGTCCATGGGAAGGGAGAGAAATCTTCCTGTGACAAGGAATGGGGGGAATAGTTTGAGTAATATAGTGTTGAAGATCCTAGATCGACAGTTATTGGGCGTCTAAGTGGAGGTGAAGGAAGACGCTGAGGAAAAGCTGGGTTTTCTGAACGTGTTGAGCTGATATATCGGGATGTTTGGGATGGGTTTCGCAGTTGTCAAATGTCAGATGATGGTGCGGGACTGGTCTGGAACTATTTTCAGTTTAATGATATGGATTGAAGTGGTGGAATGTGTCGGGGACTTCACTTGCTTGTAGACTTGGATCAGCTTGAAAGGGGTGGTTGTTGATGAAATTTCATCTGGGATACTGAATGTGCGATTGACACTTGGCAACCTGCGTCATTTGTAGCGTCGGCTATCTATTAAAGGAGGAGAAAAACCGCTCTGGAGTTCGTTCTAACTTGTTATATGGTTGTGAGACATGGGGGTTGAAAGTAGACGACCTGAAGTGGTTGGTTATAGGTTTTTGATCATAGGTGTCTTTGTAGGATTGGTCAGGTTTGATGGAATCAGGGTGTCAGCCAATGTTGGGGTCAGGCGAATGGAAGTATGCAAGATAGACAATTCGATTGAAGAGATTGTGAAGGTTCATCGACTGAGGTGGCTTGGATGTGTGTTGCGCATGGCGAGTGACGCCTACCTGAAGGTGTTATGTTAGGGTGAGTTGGACTAAATTAGATAAGTGTTTAGGTTGGCGAGACCGAGACATGGCTTCATTCGATGAAGTCTCTGACTGTTGGTGTGAGTCGTGTGGGTAGATGTGGATCGCCTGACTAGGGTGATGGAGATTGAAGGGATGAGGGTTTGAGTACTGTTGGTGATACGGCCGAAAGTTGGTCCCGAGAATGGGGATTTCCGCAGTTTTTGACGTCTTCGAAAGGTTTAGTATTCGCTGTAATCTTTATCTTGAGATTGTTTATTGTCTCATACAACTTTGTCTTTTTGAAATTACTGCTTTTTGTCTACTTGTTCTCTGCATGCTGTTGCGAAGTGTAACGACTGAATCCGATGCACGTGTAGACAAAGTTCTACGTTGATTTTCTCAGTCAATCAGTATTCCTTGAATCTGGTCTTCAGGTGGACTTTTTTACCTGCATTCTTTGTTGAATCTAACAAATGATTTGGTTGGTGACAACCTCATTGCAGTGAAAGGTGGTTTGAGGGTGCTTCGGTGTAAGTTTTTGGAGGACCAGATAGCACTATAAAGTCTTTAAAGTGAATAAACTTGTATGGATATAGTGCACAAACATGGTAACGGCTACTGAATTGTCCTATGCATTTCTGCACTATGTGAATTATAAATACGAAAACTATTTTTTCTATATTATTTTAGATCATGGTTTGGTGGTGTACTGTGCAAAGTAATCCGTGTTACTTTCCAGAAGGTATATCGGTTCGTCATAAGCAAACTCAGTTTTCTGCCTTATGGTTATGTGAAGAAATTGTTCACTTGTGGAGATTGGCTTGTCTTAATCCTGAACTTAGACCGCTTCTGACTCATGCAAACAATAAACCTTTATCTGCGTCGCTGTCATCATCTTCATCAGGTCATGGTTTATCTACTGGTTCTTATTGTAAATCTTACTCGGGTGGTTGTTGGCTGTTACAGCAGATCGCTCATAGACTACAAGCATTTCATGCTTTTGCAATGAAACAAGCGGATGTCCAGTTAAACCCCACAAACCTATCTGATAGAGGTGCAATGATGATGTGTAGCACACTACGTAGTTCTCTATATTCTGATGAATTTCCATCATGTCAAAGCAGTTCAAGTATACCAAGAAATATTTCTTCATTTCCTGGATTTGTAACAGCTCTTGAAGCCTGCAGGTATCATTTTCATTACTCTTTTCACTGATGTTTTTAGTAAATGTTTTATGATTCACGGTGAACAAATAGAACAAAAGATCTCTACTGGAACTCATTTCTAAAAATTCTGTTTGTATTTCTTACAAAGTATCATACCATTAAGACTTCAAAAGCGAAAATAGGAAGTTGAAAATTTCACTGTAACGGTATCATTTTTTTGTGTATTTGATTGGTTAACTGTATTTAGTTGGGGAGGTATTTTTATCGGAACTTGGAGTCTTCACGATTTGATGCAACTTTCAGTGACTAAATCATGGTACACCATTTTTATATGAAGACTGGAAATGTATAATTAGCTTCACTTTCATGGCAATACACAATTACTTTCTCCGTTATTTTATGCGATATCGGAGTTTAATACTAGGCAAACTACTTAAATCAATTGGTGAGGTCACAAGCTTTTATTGTCTAAAGTGGTCAGGGCATATGTTCTGTAAAAGGAATTCCTCTCTACCTAAGCATATAATGTTTTTTCGGAGAAGAAGCAACTAACAACAATGATAGCACCAATCACCATCAACGGGAGAAATCTAAAGGAAGTTACTTCTTTCACCTAACTAGACAAGGTAGCATCGTTTCAACTACGGGCGGCGGCGAGACAGATGAGGACGTCGAAGCCAGGGTCGGAAAAGCAAGACAGGCCTTCATTAACCTGAAATCAGTGTGGAGATCTACTGCCTTGCATTGCACTGCACTCAGCCTAAATAAGAAGATCTGGATTTTCAACACTAATTCAGTCAAGTCAGTGCTTCTATGTGATGGTTGAGAGACTTGGCGCGTTACGAAAAGCATTTTTAACAAACTACAGACTCACCAACAGCTGTCTACGCTCAGATGGCCAGAATAATAAGAATAAGCAACAAGGAACTCTGGGAACGAACCAACTGAGAACCTGTCACCCAACAGATATGCACTAGAAGGAAGTGGAGATGGATTGGGCATACACTGAGAAGACCATTTGGTGACATCATGTTCCAGACCAGGCCCTTGAGTGGAATCCAAAAGGGAAATGACGAGTTGGTCGCCCGAGAGTGACATGGAAGAGATCATGTGGGGAAGAAACAAAAGGTTATGGACAGTCGTGGAGGAAGGTTAAAAAGACTAGAGAGAACAGAGTGACATAGCGACGTGCTACTGAAGCCCTATATTCCACTAGGAACCCAAAGGATAAATAATAATAATAGTAGTAATAGAAGCAAGGTAGAATAAATCCCAGGATAACTGATTCAAAGCTTATTTTAAGTATATGAAACGTATGACCACTGTGGTGAATTTAGTTTGTTAGTGTCTGTAAGACAACCGAAATAGTTATTTAGAGAATCTGGATAGTTTGACATTGAATCAACCTCATTTGTGTACGTGCATCCAAACATTATCCTGAAGTTTTGAACAAGTCATTTTAAACTTGCTATCTCGCCTTTTACCCTACATTCTTCAGTAAAAACATAGTATCTAAAATCATTGTTGCCACACTTCACTTAAGATATCAAAATATAGGAAAAGACTGTCAAAATGGCATAAGTAAGTCGTAGTAAGCCACCAAACACGAAAAGGAGGGGTTAATATGAGTAACGAAATATGATTTAACTATCACTATAAAGTTATAGCATGGATTCATCTGCACTGTATTACCAAGTCTCCTACCATCAGCTTTGGTCTTTCCACGGACCAGGATGCTTATATTTTCCTGTATCTCTGAGATGAAAAGTCAAAGACTTCGTGAATTGATGTTAGGTTTTAGTCTGGCCACTCTCAGCTTTCTTCAACCTAACCGTATCTCTGTTAACTTAAGACACTATGTTACTTGGTTTTTTGTGACAGATGCTACGAAAGCAACGTTGATCTAATGTATGAAGCCTTCCTGTATCCTTCACCGCTGATGGTCATGTTTCACAACCATGTGTAGTAGGATATAACGAATTGTTTTACGGAATACTTGACCCTTAGTAAAGATGTTACTTAGCAACCATATGAAGGTTTGTGGACTAGACAATGAACGACACCTATTATGAGAGTTGATAATACTGCTTGACTTCCTAAATCCTAGTAGTCGAACGAGGTTCGAACGTATGACCCAGTGGTTTGAAGTCAGTTGTCTAAAACAATGAATTATGGCTTTACAACTATCGATAGTTGGTTGTTTTGTAGGCACTGCAACTGGTGTTAGTGGAAAAAGGCGGATCAAACCTTTTGTGCCATTGTGTGATTTTGTTAGTCATACACCCATCAAGGCTTATTTGACTTACCAGGTAGAGGAGATGGTTAACATGTTCAACCTTTTCAATTTTACTTGTGTATCACGTTTCAACTCAAACCAGTTCTGAAGCAACAATTAGTATTTGAAAGGTAGGAAACGCATTAAAAACATTTCCAAGTTGCCACACATAAGGTTCAGAAAGTTTCACCTTATGACTGGATACCGTGAGATGAAAAAGTAGTCGGAGATTGGTTGAGTTGTTTCTCGAAATGGTATTCGCTTCATTTTAATCGGCTTGCCTTGCGAGTGCATTACTTACAGATACATTTTCATCTTCTATTGCCCGTAGATTCGAATACATGCATGTGTCGTTGGTAGGTGAATACTTATGCTGTTGAGCAGTTGTTACTTTCACTTAACCAATGTATCCACCTTACACCATTAAACTAATTTTACTAGACACTTATTGTAATATTTGATCTTCCTAATTATACGTGATTATGACTTGGTTCTAAACCTTGTCTCGTTACGAGTTTATCTAATGTATAAGGTGCATCCATCTGGAAGACTCAAATCCATACGAATGCCACGACTATAAATTCACCAATTATACGGTACAGCTGGTTTTTTTCATAGCGATTATTATCTTTATCGTGACTTAGCGCATGAGTGATTCTGAGAATAGCAATGCTAAAAAATGTGCGTATCAGCAGATATCTGACTGATTAAATTAACAAAGATGTTTGTAAAAGTTCAATTAGGGTTCACTTTATGTTCAATTAAACGTAATGTTTGATTTTGTATTTTCAGATTTTCTTGGTCATCAGAAGTTCCCCCTACATACGGTCTTTCTGGTACAGAATTCCTCAAATGTAAGTCTGCTTACATTAAGCTTAAGAAATTTCTCTACTGACAGTTGAAATCATTTCAATACTTTGGTTATGTAGTCTGTACTACCATTAAACTTTTGTAAAAGGTTGACCAGTAAAACATGCAATGTTACCTAATCTAATCGTTTTTATGAGTTCGTCCTCTTATATTCAATTTCAATGTTTCCAGTAATGATGTCTATGAACTAAGTATTTTTAATTGATATGTCGTAAATCCATGGAATCATTGACTATTGTCTTAACCATTGTTTTCTTCCTTTGTCCTTCTTTAGTCATGCCATCATTCCATGGAGCTCATGTCACTAGTGATTCTGAAATCACAGAGTATGCAGACATTATTCTAAATTTTTCAAGGAATTATTTTAATTCAATGAAACATTATTCTCCTATTGAGTTTGATAATCATTGGAGCATGGATCAGATGAACTCGCAATTAACGAATAATCTTCTGTCTATCAATCATATCGAGGTGAAGTGTTCACATTATTTACTTCATGCTTGATGTGTTTATGATAATGAATCATTTGTGTGTGTGTGTGTGTGCGGTGTGTGTGTGTGCAATAATCAAATGGAATACTAATTCAAACTTGTCTCATTCCGCAGAGGTTTCGACAACCACATATTATCACTATCTTCCATAGTCTAATGCACATCGTTACTGAATTATGTTGCATGTTATTGCACTTTCGAGGGTTTCCTTGGGTATTCTAGTAATTTCTGCCGATTATCTCTAGCCATACAGCATCAAGCAGAGATGTGGTTGTTTAACACCTATTTGAAAACATTAAAAAAAGTAACAGAGATCGGGTTTTGTTTAGATCTACGTCGTTTTATTAGTCAGGTGAACTTAAACGTTAGTTATTGATTGGGAAGCGACTGATTAAATGTTAAGGGAGTTGTTACACATGCTAATTTATATCCGCTAGATATATTTTAAACACAATCTGTAATGAATCGTAGAATGGTTTTCGTTTCTTCAGTTTTGTAGTTTGTGGGGATATATTGATTTCAAA